GACGGCCTCGGACGGAATGCGAATGCAGCGCAGTCGCACCGCAGCGGATACGCATCCAGTGTAAATCAGGGGTAAGCCAGCGCTGTAAGCAAGTCGAATGCACCCAATGACCGGACTGGGGAAACAAACTGAAACGCCGACTTAATACAGAGGACTAATGACAACAACCAGAAACAGCTGATCACATGGGGATTCCACAGGAGGTTAACGAGGGGGCGTGGACAGGGGTAATGTTGGGATAAGATCTTTATCGTTTTGGAAGCCATTAAGAAAAAAATGCTCTTCTTGTTTTATTCTGTTAATTTTGTGTTTAAATGCTAAAAAATAAAAACATATTTAGGTGTAATTTTGGGGGGCCGGGAACCAATTAATTGGTTTTCCATTATTTCTTATGGGAAAAATTCGATCAGAACTCGAACTTTTTAGGATTCGATCCAGAATCCGGAACGGATTAAGTTCGAGAACCGAGGTACCACTGTAATTCCATTTTTCATAGACCGGAAATGAGCTAGCTGCATTTCCATGAACGTGGAAGCTGACGTGCAAAGAGCCCATTCTGCGGAAAACGGTGAAGGGGAACACCAGCAAACCACGAGCAGGATCTAACGCACAGCACTAACAATCGTAGATATATAGTACATAGATTTGTATACATTTGGAGGAAGAACTGTGCATGTTTCTTATCGATACCTAACTGATGGTCACAAAGCTCATCCGTCTCTCACCGCGGTAGGACAAACGTCTGCGGGATGATGTCATTCATGAGGACATCAAACAGGTGAGACTAAGATATGCAGTTTATGTTTAGTGACACTGAGAAATGTATTTATTTCAGTCTCTGGATCAATCGGGGGTTAATGGTCACCAGTCAAATCACTATACCAGACATAGGACTTAGTGTTGTCACTACATGGAAGGCTGTGGAGTTGATTTAGATTAGATTGGATTTATTGTCATTGCGCGAAGTATGAATATTTAGGCTGTGAAACGTAGTTTGGCATGTAATCTGAAAATACAAAATAGGGTCGGAGTGGGGACCCTGTTCCATAGAGGGTTTTTGGGATGGCCTCTCAATCGGCCAAAAATAAAACAGTGATTCTCGACTCCAGTCCTGGGGACCTACCGTCATTGGCAGATTGACAGGTCATCCCAAAAACCCGTACCGGCCCTCCATGGAACCGGCTCCCTACCCCTGAAATAGGGCAAAAGTTCCATAAACAGTTGTGTACTGCATATGTGCGAAAAATCAATAGTCTGTGATTTGAATGTTAACTTATGTGACACACAGCTGTAAATAGCTACCTACCTGTACATCAAAGCTTCAACAAATGGTTTCCTGATTTCCAGCTCAGTCTTAGGTATGCAAAATCAAAGATATTCATTTCCCATTTCCACCCGGCACTAACCATGCATTCCTTCACCATACTGTTTTTGCTCCCTCCCAGTTCCTTGCCAGACAGTCCACGTTTTCGCTCTGGGAGGGAGCAAAACTGAGGACCATCTGGGGTTCATTGTGGACTGAATTGAGAAACGGTGCCCTATGGAGTATGGCAGTGCGTATGAGTGCCCTGCGATGGACTGGCATCCCTTGTAGGGTGACCCTGAACAGGAAAAGCTGTTTGTAGATGGATGAAATATGAATCTGAAATAGTTCAGGCCAAGATTCTACAGAGGTGAACAGTCTTGTTTTATTCTTTAATGTCCTATATCTCCATGCATAATTATCTTAATTTATTACCCTCTGCCTGCTGGCAAGGTTCAGGGCGAGTGTGTCATGCACCTGAGAGAGTGAGAGGTCTCACGGTTGCACTCACACACATGTGCACACACACACACACACACACACAGCCACAGTGCTCACAGTTTATAGTTATAACACTTGGAAACTGCAGTTAATCAGTAAACCACTATAATACAATAATTATAATAATACAAATTATTATTTATCATTTCACATATTTACCTTTTTCTGGAGATGTTGAGTTAAGCAGCACATCACTGCATTGCTTACTATCACCTTCACTATGAGGCAAGCCTGCCCAGTTCCGGTACTTGAGGGCCAGAATCTAAGTTTGCAGATTCTCCTGCTCAAACACCTACCAAACCTGGTAATTGGCTGAATAGGGCAGGGAAATAGGGCAAACTGAATAGATGCAGGCCCTCCAGGACTGGAAGTGGGCGGCACTGCCGAACGCTGGTGATGTGGTTGTTCCAAGGAACATCCATGTGACGTTGCATAATACTAAATACCCCACTGCCCATCTTACCCCCTACCCGGGAACACCCCCAGGGCTGTCAGCACACTAAATACCCCACTGCCCATCTTACCCCCTACCCGAGAACACCCCCAGGGCTGTCAGGACACTAAATACCCCACTGCCCATCTTACCCCCTACCCGAGAACACCCCCAGGGCTGTCAGGACACTAAATACCCCGCTGCCCATCTTACCCCCTACCCAAGAACAGCACCTGAGCTGCCCAAAGCCTTTGTGACACATTCATTATTAAAATAATAATAATAATTCAAAGAACTTCCTCAGCAAGTTATGGACGGAAGCAGTGAGAAATCACCAAAATTATAGGAAGAGTACATAAAGTACTGAGGTCTTTGTATATTCTTGGCAACACAGTCTTCTGACTGAACTGGGATGATTATCATGTAGAAACTGTGCAGATCAGTTCATTCTGAACGCAACAGCTGGGCTCTGATGTAACTGGTGAGGGAAGCCAAAGGCAGCGTCCTTCAATGGCTGAAACCGGAGACTGCTATGTGAAATACTTAAAAAATGCCACCGTACAGGAAGCTAACCAGCCTGACAGGAGAATGACGAACAGCCTTGTTAGGGGCAATTGTACTGTGGTATAAATAAACGTGATTGGAAGCTCAGAGTGAGCTGATGAGGCCGGGAGGCACCTTTTCATATAAATTCCACGTGTTATGTCAAGTGCCGGCTGATGTGATGCGTCGGCCAGCTGCTTCATCCTGAGAAGAAGTCATGGTGGGGGCAACATCAAGTTATGCGGGGGCTGATCCTCTTTGGGGACGGTCACATTTAAAGGGGAAATGCAGCAAAGCACAGTGGATGGTGTGTATGACGCTGTGTACTTGAGGTCTGACCCTCACTCTGGAAGGTTGTGGGTTCAAATCACATGGCTAGTACAGTAACTATATCACTGTTAGACCCTCAAGCAAGGTCCTTAACCCCAGTTACCCCAGCGATGGTGGTTGGCCTCATCGTTGCTTGTTGCTTTGGGCTAAAGTGTCTCTTATGTAAATGAAAATTTGTTTGAGTCGGATAAACAAATTTAAGGTGACACTTTAACTTTCAGCAGCACGGTGACTCAAAAATACACTGATTCAGAGAATGTCTACAAGCGCTCTAGTGAGCTCCGACTCAGATCCTGGGGAAAATCTGTAATCAACCATGAGAGATTTTCGTATGATTCCAGACGCTTGAGAAAATCAGCCAAGAGTCCAAATCCGTGAATTACATAATACTGTGTAAACTCCATTAAAGGGGATTTCACCCAGTGCCGGATACTTCTGTATAATCCTGTATTCAAGCATTTATTGTCATCAGGTTTTGCTGAAGCCCTTTTAGTGACTCATTAAGGCCTAATAATTTACACGTGCTTCTGTTATATTGAATGATATGCTGAAATGTCGGAGGGGGAGATAGCGGATTAGCTGGAAGTCCATTAGCCTCCAGGGATGGAGGTTTGAGTCTCAGCCCCACTCTGTGCATGTGCGTGCGTGTGTGTGTGCGTGTGTGCGTGCGTGTGTGCGCGCGCGTGTGCACCCGTGTCTGTGGTCCAGGTGTACCTTACATTGTGGGGACCATTTTTTTGGTTGTGTGTGTGTTGGTGTGCATGTGAGGGGAAGCAATAAAAAGGCCAGTAGGATGTTGGGTTACATCTCTAGGTGTGTGGAATTTAAGTCAAGGGAGGTGATGCTATAATTATATAATTCCTTGGTAAGACCCCACCTAGAATATTGTGTGCAGGTTTGGTCACCATACCTTAAGAAGGATATTGCTGCCTTAGAAAAGGTGCAACGAAGAGCTACGAGAATGATTCCTGGTCTTAGAGGAATGTCTTATGAGGAGAGGTTAGCTGAGCTGAATCTGTTCAGCCTCGAGCAAAGGAGACTAAGGGGGGGACATGATCCAGGTCTCTAAGATTCTAACAGGTCTGGATGCTGTTCAGCCAAATGACTATTTCAATATTAGTCTAAATACTAGAACTCGTGGCCATAAGTGGAAATTAGCTGGAGAACATTTTAAAACAAATTTGAGAAAGCACTTCTTTACACAGCGTGTAGTTAGACAGGTCTGGATGCTGTTTAGCCAAACAATATTAGTTTAAATACAGCGTGTGGCTCAGTGGGCTGTGCCTGTAATCACAAGGTTGCCGGTTCAAACCCAGCCTCAGCACGTCTACGGGTCATTGAGCAAGTCCCTTATCCCTTAGCTCTCTGGGCGCCGGTCCGGGTGGCCGCCCTTCGCGGACAACTTACTCTACAAAGAGCAAGTTAAGGGAGGCGTAAAGACAATTTCCCCACAGGGATCAATAAAAGTATTGATTATTATTAGAACTCGTGGAAATTAGCGGGAGAAATTTGAGAAAGCACCTTTTTACACAGCATGTAGTTAGAGTATGGAATAGTCTTCCTGCTAGTGTAGCGGAAGCTAAAACCCTGGGTTCCTTTAAATCAGAGCTAGATAAGATTCAGCCCTGAGCTATTAGTTGATTTCTCCCAAAACGAGCTTGATGGGCCAAATGGCCTCCTCTCATTAGTAAATTTCTTATGAGTGTGTGTGTGTGTGTGTGTGTGTGTGTGAATGTGTGTGTCTGGGTGCGGGTTACCCGGGTGTGTGTGTGTGTGTGTGTCCTGGTGTGTGTCTGGGTGAGTGTGTGCATATGTGTGTGTGTTTGTGTGTGTCTGGGTGCGTGTTTACCCGAGTGTGTGTGTGTCCTGGCGAGTGTGTATCTTTGTGTGTGTGTGTGTGTGTGTATGTGAATGTGTGTGTCTCGGTGCATGTGTGTGTGTATGTGTGTGTTTTTGTGAGTGTTTACCCGAGTGCGTGTGTGTGTGTCCTGGCGAGTGTGCATATGTGTGTGTGTGTGTGTGTGTCTGGGTGCGTGTTTACCCGAGTGTGCATATGTGTGTGTGTGTATGTGTGTGTCTGGGTCCGTGTTTACCCGAGTGTGCATATGTATGTGTGTGTCTGGGTGCGTGGACTTTCCACATTCTTCCCAGCTTCAGCAGAGTCACTGGTTTTTGCCTGCATGCACAGTCAGGTGGCTTGGTGTTGCTTAATTGCCCATAGATTGTGTGTTCTGTGAAGGACGTGCATTCTGTCCTGGGTGCCCCCCCCCCTCATTACCCTGCCCTGGGTTAACAGTTTCAATATGGATGGATGGACCACTGGTGCTGCAATATTTTTTTAATTATGTACCAACTTCTATGAAACCGTAACATAACCATCTGTTCTCTGCTGCTAAGAGCAGTCATTCTTAATTTGTTCAGGAATCACTTTAATTGTTCATGCAAAGTCTTTGTTCAGGAGCTTTGGACGGTTGTTGCCAAATGGCTCAGCATGAATAACTCATAACTGAACACGGTGATAATCCTGAAATGAAATGGGACACTTTTGTCGAGGTCTGTCAAATCCTCTGTGATGTCAGCTGAACGAACTGAAGCGGCTCAGCTTAGTAAACACATCGTGATGAAATTATTCTTAAACTGATGATACGGTTAGGTATTTCTGCAGGTCTATTTGAACGTAGTTTTGCATGAGAACACCAACCTGTGTTGACTGGTGAGATTATCTTCTTCATTTACAGATGAGTCTGCCAGATGAAACCGAGATAAAATCAGACGTATATAAGCAAAGTCACAGCTCAGGGACCATGTGTTGTTCATGTCTTGTCTAAGAGCCATTTTCCCATCCAGAACCAAATTTCATCGTTGCGATTTCTTCTCATGTGTTGCCCTGCCACCAGAGACGAGATCTGCAGTCAACAGCTGGTGTTTAATTCATCGGGAGCCTTGCTGGCTCGAACAGAAGGATGTCTTCACCAAGCCAATAAGCCTGAAACTGTACGCCGTCAAGGACTGGCACACAACCGGAGAGATAACGTTGCAGCGGTAACATCTCCTTCAGAGTTTTATCTCATCTTCATAGTACGGGGTCGGGCAGCCCAGGGATTGCCAAATGTTAAAATAAAAGTCCTGCTGAAGTCATCCTAGACGTCTCATCCTGTTGAGGACATCACGGCTGCTTTAGATCCAAACGGTTCCCAGAGGCTGGCCCTCCGATACCCCGAGAGACCATGAAGGGCCTTCGCTTTGTGCTCTCACCGGGCTTAGACACAGACGGGCCCTGTTTAATATGGGACGCGTTTAAGCTGCAGACAAAGAACTCGGACATCCGATACGGCGAGTGGAATATCACACAAAAACCCGGAGAGGCTGAGATTGAAACCTAAGTTTAGCGGTTCGTGTTATTTGATGGACGGGATGGGGGCGGAGCAGCCAGATAAATGCTTGATGATAGCCCCCACTGAGCAGAAGGCTGACTGGCCCTAAATGAGGTAAAAACTGGGAGACAAATACATTATTCACTCCCCCCCCCCCCCCCCCCCATAAGGTAACAAATGCTGGTTCTGGTGTGGGCGAGAACAAAGCTTACAGACACACAGCTGGTACTGAGTGATGAGAAGTCACCTCAGATATTATTGGGAATTATTATGGTTTGTTAGCAAACAAAAAGTGGCTAATTGCTTTGGCTCAAGTTTAACGGATTTGTTAGCAGGGAGACAGCTACGGATCTAGGCAGGTGATTGGCTCTGAAAGGTCACATGCTCCAGCGTATGGCTCTTTCTCTGAACTTCTTCGGCGAAACCTCCCACAGTTCACACCTGCCCTACAAAAGCAGAACAGTAATCACACTAACACTGAGAAAGAGGACTGCAATGTTTATAGACTGACCGCCCAACTGTGTAATTTTTTTATTTTTATTTATTTATCATTTATTTTACCAGGAATGTCCCATTGAGATACATTATCTCTTCTTCCAGGGAGTCCTGGCCAAGGTATTAGGTACGTAACTGATAGTGTAGCATAGCTGAACTGAGATATTTTGTCACAAGATAAAAGAGTTTAAGAGCCCTGATTTTGGTCATAGTCGGTTTTGATCAAATATGCATTTAGGATGTTTTGCCTTTGCATGGTAGAAATGTATAGTTTGTAAGCTGCCTTATAGCTAAGGTGCGATGAACTCGCATCTTAAATGTGCATCAGTACCTTCTACGTGTAAGGGAAATGTTTCTGCGATCAAATTAAGTGTAACAACAAGTGACACCGGATTTTTAAGGACCAGGGTCCAGCAGGTTTTTGGCGTTCCTTGATAAAGAGGAAGTGGAATAACGATGGCGTGATTTCCTGAGGACATCTCCCTCCTGAAACAGCCACACGTGGACGTCACATCTGGAGACAGACCTGAGTAATGTGCCGAACTTGTGCAAGGTCTCATTACCCTTATTATCGTGCTGTTGCCGTTGGCTACACATAGGGGGGGGGGCGACCTAGAAACCCACATTCCGCTTCAGTGTGCCTGCCCGCTCCGCACCTCCGCTAATTGCGTGCAAACAGAAATAGCCGAGACCTTGCCGCACGCCGGGAGAGTCACGTGACCGTACGGTATATCCACCGGGAAGAGCGGAAGCGTGGCCAGCGCCCCCCCCCCCCCCCCCCACACTGCTCCTGTTGTCCTACCATCACTGTGCAGGAGGAAGGCGCCCCACCAGGATACAATCAAAATAATTAAGGTTTACCTGCCTAATTCATTAATATTTCATCATAATAAAAGCATGCATTAATCATTATTTTATCATTATTTCAATAATAATCAATTGATAGTGTTAGACCTCCTAAGGTGTTTCTTTAACCATTATTTTTCCTTAATATGTCGCATTTGGGATAGCTTCCAGCCATCTGTGGTCCGGGGGGTAAAACAAAACTCAGACAAAAGTGTCCATTTTAACGACAAGGCTTCAGTACAGCCAACATCCAGCCTGGCAGCCTCTGGGTAACAGCCTGTTAATCATCTGCTGTGTCACCGAAGGCCAGGCCTTGTTTGGTTCAGAAAAACACCAATATTACCCTCAGCCTATGGAATTTCATACCAACTTCCATTAGACACTGTGCTGGTTATAATCATTTTAATGTAAGATTAATTATGGCTAAAATCCCCAAAATCATGTAATCACCACATCTCATATTAGTCCATAGTATTCTATGTTACCTAACAGCGTTGCATATTTCTTGGTGCTACAGGCATCCCTTCTTAACGAATGTTTTTACGAACGACCAACATTTGCACCTGTTTTCGCTAACTGAAAGAAATCCGAAGAGGATTTTCACTTTTACAACTATGTTGCTGATTTATGTATGTACTGTGCTGTACTTTTTATCGCTATTTAGCATATTTACCATATACCCTAGGAGTATAGTGAGTTAGCGCAGCAGCGAATTGGCCTAACGACACATTTCTCTTGAAGCTTCCCTCTCATTGAACGACGCATGACTTCATTGATTCTGCCAGGTGAAGCTACACTGATGCACTCTTTCTGCCTTATATAGGCTGTGCATTTATCCTATCATTCCTGCTTTTACTATATGATAGTTTAATTTAAAGGTTCCATGTGTTATTCGGTATAATTAGCTAGGTTATGTTTTGGCTCTGGAAACGCTCAAAAATGTTTCCTCATATTAATTAAATGTAATTGCTTCTTTGTTTTACGCCATGTCGGCTTACGAAAGGTATCATAGAAACGCTTCAATTTCTTTAAGCCAGGGAAACCTGTATTTAAACTTTATTTTTCTGACCTTTTAGTCATGGTTAATTAATTTTGTTCACCTGCTTAGGGAAGCCAGATAAAATGTAACAACCTTATTCTGGGATAAGAAACAACCCATTTATTTTCCCTGTTGAATATGTACGTACAGTATATTGTTAATGCATGTTTTAGGTACACCTGCTTGTCAATGCATGCAGCCTGCTACACTAAACAGCCGATCATGAGACTATAGCTCAGTCTATGCAGCATGGTGGCAGGACCAGCAGGCTCTGTTACTGCCTGACTAAGTGCTGTGTGATCCAAGGAATTTTTGAATGTGCTGTGATTGTTGGTGGTGGACGTGGTTGTTCCTGTCTCTAAGAAATAGCCGTTCTCCTGCCATTTTCACATACTACACTGTGTAAAGATAGCAGAGAATGCTGCGATAAACAAAAGTCATCCAGGCAGCGGTAGTTCTGTGGGTGAAAACACCTGTCAGGATCAGTGCTTGTCAGGCCCTGTCCCACGTGTTTTGTCCCTATTTGGCCAGCCGGTGTCACTGGTCATCCTGTTCCCTCCCCTGTCTTGTAGCCCCTCAGTCCCTAGTGTGTTTCCCTACTCCTTGTGCTGCCGTGTCACTTAAGGGGCTAAGCAGTCGGCCATCAGACTCCCTTTTGTTGTGGTTTCGAGGTTGCCCAGAGGCCAGCCCCAGCTAGTTCTTTTTTCTGTGCTTAACGTTTGTTATTTTATGTTCTCTTCATTTATTATGGGTATGTTTGCTCCCTGCTCCTTGGTTGTGGTATGTTCAGTTTTCCTTGTTCTAGTTTCCCTTGGTGTGTGAACCTGCTGTATCCATTCATTATCCTCACCTGCTCCTCGTTGCCCTATAGTTCTTTACACCTGCCCCTTGTTAGTCCTTGTTATCAGTGTATTTAAGTGCCTGTCTTTGTTCGATAGTTGTTACTTTTTTCCCTTCTCTCCTCTCCCCATGGTGTTTAATGTCTGTTATTGTTACTATTGTTGTTTCTGTGCCTTCCCCCCCCCCCTTTTTTTTTTCTTTTCTTCTTATAATCACAGTACTAGGACAGGTGAGTTCGGAGCGGCCACACTCTTTACACTGTACCTTTAATTTAATGTAAAATAAAGTTTACTGATAACAGTAACTGTGTTTTATTTCTTGCTCAGTTCCCATACTGTATGTCTTCCTAGTTCTCGTGTTGGTTCTCCTTGTGATTAGTTCTAGCTAGTTCATGTACCTGTCTGGTTCTGGCCCCTCATGGTTCCTTTACTTTCTGGTTCTCATTTTGTGTTCCATTTGTTAATAAACCCCTTTTGTTGAGAGTCGCTATGTGGATTGTCCCTCCTTCGTGATTCCCCACCGTAACAATACCTCCTTAATCGCAGAGTCCAGAGGAGAACAGCCAGACTCGCTGAAGCTAACAGGAAGGCCATAATTGCACAGATAACAGCTCATGGCTTCACTTACGCAAAACTCATTTATTCTGGTTTTGTAGGCAACCTGGTAGTACTATGTAAGTGTACTATTTTAATAATAATTTAATTAATGTAATTGCAGGATACACAGAACAGTATAAGTATTATATGCAAATTATTATCTAATGACAATGGACAGCTCTTTGACAGAACATACAGGGCATGTCAAACAAAACCATATAGTGTTGTGACACTGTAATGTTGACTCGTGTGTCAAGCTGAGTCCCTCTTCATCTCATCTCCGTGTGATCAGGGGTCTAAAGTCACTGCAGGGGAGCAGTGCACTGCACTTACAGGAGGTTCATCACTGCATTGTGCTGGAACTTCAACCGTTTGATGGATGGATGGATGGATGGATGGGTGGGTGGATGGATGATGGATGGATTTTATTACTGAATTGTGTATTTGCATTTCTTCTCATGAGAACATATGAAAATGGTTGGGAAAGTCTGTAACGACAGAAGGGAGAGCTGGGTTCTATTGTGTATAAATATCATTAAGGCAAGAAGATGAATGGAGAAGCAAAATTACTGTGTGAATCATTAAAATTGAAGAGAAAAAAATAAGAATTAAAAAACAGCTTCAGATCCAAACAGACAAAAGGAAAGAAGAGAAAGGGCTCTGTTTGCGTCAGAAGTCTGAGAATGACGTATTACCCAAGGTAACAGTGTTCCAGTGCAAGAAGTCAGAAAGCCATTTCACAAGACCGGTTCTAGACACGTTAATTGTTAGCCATTGTTAATACCAGTTGGTAATGCGTTTTTTGGAATCTTGCCCGTAGAAACACTGTTGGAACACGTCCACAGACAGAGGCTGGACAGTACTGTGTGTATGACTCATTTAATGAGACACAAATAATATCTATATGTTAATAAACAATATATGACTACAGATTTCACTTCAGCTGAATTCTGCTGTTGGCATTGCAGAGGTTCCTGTGACTATCCGAGCTGGCATACCGACTTCAGGGGGCGTTCCAGTGGAAATTTCCGACTCGGAAATGTAATAGACCATTAGGACCCCTCAAATACATAGTTATAACATGACTGGATTGGTCTTGTTTGGGGGCCAAATATGACATGATTTCATGGGGCCCAAAATCTCTAGTAGCACCCCTAAGAACATTCGTCACTAGTAAACTGCTATGCTAGTTATGCTCCCTGGCCCCCAACAGGTAGCTGCCCTTCGCGGAAAGTTGAGGGAGGCGTAAAAAAAGACAATTTTCTTACGGGGATCAATAAAGTATCTATTATTAATTGAATTAGTTATAGGCAGGGGCGGATTAAGGTGCACAGAGGCCCCTAGGCTACAGTAGTCTGTGGGCCCCCCTCCGCGCCAATGGGGGCCCCCTTGCAGGCTGGCACACGTGGGGCCCCTAGGCTTAAGCCATATCTAGCCTCTGCATTAATCCGCCCCTGGTTATAGGTCTATAGAACTTAAATATATCGCAGATTCCTGCCATTTCCTTTCCATAAAACATCGTCCGGAACACCTTCTAAAATGAATAGACCTTCGGACTTTTTCAAGCGTTGATATTGTCTTTGTTTAATATTTAATGGCCTCTTTTACCTGGCTTGGGATCGCACTGCACTTCAGCCTGGACATTAATTTTCTGCGCAATATAAAAACACCACGGCACGAATCGCGTGATAACTGTCATATTAACAGCAGCGGTGAACGCAGTCAAGAACTTGTTTGTCAAGGAGAAACAAAAAGAATTATGAACAAAAATAGTACGACCGTCTCCATTTTCTAAGTTGCATAATAGGTTTGTCTGCTTATTTTCCTCCAAGTGGTCATTATAATTATCAAATATCATAGTGTGTAGACGAAAGGTCCCCAGTTCAAAACCAGACAGAAACAGGAATTTCCCGTGGGTTCACTAAAGTAGGCTATATTCTTAACTTAATACTGTATCCCGGCAACTGCATTACCCATGAGCCGCGTTTTTGAATCCTGCGCTCCGTCTCCTCGTACACGGCGCCTTCATTTTATGACTGTGTATCCACGTTTATTGCGATGCTCCGCCGCCGGACCTCACGGAGACAGATGCATTATATCCGAAACGGCGCAAGAAGCTGTCTGGTTTCCCACCGCTTATTTAAAAAAAGTCATACAAGTTTTAATAGAAATGTGTGCTACTATATGGCTGTGTTATACTACATAAAAGTGAATATCTGAGGATCCACATATAAAAATTGCACTCTTTTATTCCGTTAACCAACCTATGGTAAATTGGAAAGGGTATGTAAATAAATATCGATGAGAATTTGTTAGAATAATTGCACCTAGGCTTTCTCGAATCAGCAATAATGCATTAAATATAAAGATTCTTTACGGCTTGGAGCTTGGCGAGCCGGCGGTCTCCGGGCGAGGAGCTCCTGCCGCGGACCGAGTCAGCGTTTCCGCGACATTCATCCGACTGCAGCTTGAAGTCGCACCTCCGTCTCAGTCCCCCTCTTCAATTGCGGAGTGGCGTCACATCTACAGGAGCATCCAATTCCTTATCAGGATGGAGGCTGTGGAATTTCACCTAGGCAATGAGCAGCCTTGGACAGCCTACTATTTGCCGGGCGTCTCTGTATGTGTGCATGTCTGTATGTGTGAACCTGCGAGCCGGAGGACAGTGTAAAAATGCGTACCAACTAGAATGACGAAGCATCGACAATGGCACCGTGGCATCAATGTGATTATATGAAGGGCACCTGTCGCCGGCTCGTCGTTTTTTTCTTTAGCCATATCGGCGCTTGACAGTTGGCGTAAAGACCCAAGTGTCTCACCGCGTTTCGCTGCTTGAACATAAAAAGCAAGGAGAGCCTCCGAAGCGGCGGCCGGTCTTCCCATCTTCACAGCGCTGATCGTTAACGGATGAAGGTGAGTTTCATTCCCGAGGTGGGCGCCCGATGTAGTTCTGCTAGCCGGTTTCTTGTTTTGTATTGCAAATAAATCATGATGCTTCCTTTCTCTGTATCAGTCATCTGTCTTGCTGGGTGCGACGTTTGTTGTCCGGTCATTGTCTCAAATCGCGCCCTATGAATTTCCTGCAGTGTCTTTTATGCTGGATGATACCTTGACTTCGGCCCCGCGGAAGAGACCGCAGCCAAATTAAAAGCTTATGAGGACTGTAGACTTCCTTTGGACCGTAACAGTGCAGGAGACCGCTTATAATCTTTTGTTGCCTTTATACTGAACTACAGATAATGATGCAAAAATAAATCGTAAAAATAATCATGCTGGTAACACTTTATACTTGAGGGGGCACAAATAATATTGTAGTACATTCTCTCCCTAACGGCTTCTGAATTTACATAATCAGTGTTACTATCAGTCCTTTAATTGTATAATGCAAAGTCAGCCTGTATACGTACAGTGAACACGTACAGACCAAATCAAATGCAGGTAGGCTAATATACCAATATAGCTGTAATTATTATTAATACGTAGGCTATAGCCTATTTTCGGAAACAATAATAGGCTAGTTCTTACGTACACGTGCAAGATAATTAAAAAACCGTAAAAGAAGTAAACTAACATATAGCTATAGTACATATATAAAGGAATAAAAACTTTAAAAAGTCGACAGAACAGGTTGTTCTCAGTACTGACAAAGTGAAAGTCAACAAGCTATAATCGTGTCAGCTCTGATTACTTTCCACCTTGAGCGACAGTGGACATTTCCGTAGAGTAGAAGCCGGTGGATTAAATATTTACGGGAACCTTCTCAATAGCCCAAGGAGGAAGGGGGATTAAATACCCAAATTAACGTACTAATTTCGTGTCTTCTGAGAGCTATGAATCCAGGCAGCGCTCCTGAAAATGGGGACATTATAGTATCCTAAAGGAAGAACTGTGTGACCCTTAACTTTATAGCAGTTTTGCACTGTATTTTCCCACCAGTCATCCTTCTTCAGCATCGCAGTTCAGCTCGTTTTATTCGGATGAGTTAAACCGATATATGAACGTAATAAATAAAATTATGTAATATCTTGAAATACTCGAGCAATAACCAAACGATGCTTTTTTTTTTCCAAAGTTCAAGGTACTTGTTTTAATTCTATTCTTTTGACCACTCAGTCACACCCCCTGTCCTTGCTGGGCTAACTAACCACATCACCAGAGCACTTTTTACAAGTTAAAATTCCGGCTCTGCTCTCCCTACTCTGCTGAAATGGTGCTTCTCAGCTGTACAGAGTTTCTCCTTTGCAGCGTAACAGCAGCTGTTTAATCCCACAGTAAGGCTTCCTGCGACATGTCAAGGAGTACGGCGGCTGGCTCGACTGGCTCTTTCCAGCGTTGAGGTTTTTAATAGCAATTTTCAAAACGGCAGCTTCAAGTATTAAGTACTCCGTCGTACTATGTCAGAAAGACGAGTGCTGGGTTTTAATTTTTAATGGAGACATGGCGGACCTAGGAGTGATGACCATGGAGAAATCCGGGTTTGCTCCTAAGACAAGTTACCCGCGGGGTCTTATGAAAGTGTTAAAAAGAATTTAATTTAATATTCTCAAAATAAGGCCTTAAGGTATCGGATTTCATTTACAAAGCACTGAATTTCTTTCACAAAGGTCTTCATTTTTTTGTCCCTTTCGTAGGATTAAATAAATACCGCAACGCCGTAAACAGCAGTTAAATTCACAGCGCGTGACTTTCCATAACAAAAGCCGTCCGCTTAAGTCAGCAAAGGGCCGGTTTGTGTGCAGGTTTTTTGTTATAACCTGTAGGTCAGCTGTTCAAACCCAGGTGTGAGGACTCTTCAGCCAATCAGTCTTCTAATTAGGGAGTTGTAGCGAAAACCCGCATACACAGCGGCCCTTTGTGGACAAGATTGGCCACCCCTCGCTTAAGTCATGCGTCGCTACCCGATCAGTACCACCTGCCCGATTTGTACCTGACCCTTCTGTGCATGCACAGCAGTACACTTTACGGAATATTTCACGACTGTATTTGAAATGGGTAAAATGGACGTTGCTGCCTTAGAATGCCTTCAGTATAGGGCTAGAAGAATGATTCCTGGTCTTAGAGGAATGTCTTATGAGGTGAGGTTAGCTAAGCTCAATCTGTTCAGCCTCGAGCTAAGGAGACTCAGGAGGGACATGATCCAGGTATATAAGATTCTAACAGGTCTGGATGCTGTTCAGCCAAATAGTTACTTCCATATTAGTTCAAATACTAGAACTCGTGGTCATACTGTAGGTGGAAATTAGCAGTAGAACATTTTATAGGCTACTGGATTTGAGAAAACACTTTACACAGCGTGTATTTAGAGCAGGGGTGTCAAACTGCAGTCCTGGGGGGCCGGAGCCCTGTGTAGCTTAGTTCTTTCCCTGTTCCACCACAAATGATTCAGCTCAACTGCTATGTGGTAATTAGCACAAGAAGTTGAATCAGGTGTGTTAAATGAGGGGAAACCCAAAAATGTGCAGGGCTCCGGCCCCCCAGGACTGGAGTCTGACACCTGTGATTTAGAGTATGGAATAATATCCCTGTTAGTATAGTGCAAGCTAAAACCTTGGGTTCCTTTAAATCAGAGCTAGATAAGATTCAGCTCTGAGCTATTAATTGAATTCCCACAAACGAATGGCCTCTC